CGTAAAGATGGGATCTCAATCTCTGCAGGTATAACTGCTTCAGTCCCGTATACCAGTGAATATGGGGTAGCGCCCACTGACGTACGGACTGTAGTGCGATAACCCAACAAAGCAAAAGGCAACTTTTCATGCCATTGTCGAGAATTTTGCACCATCTTACGAAGTATCTTATTTATATTTTTGTTAGCAGCTTCTACAACCCCGTTTGCCTTTGGGTGATACGGAGTCGAATTTCGATGCTCAATCTTAAATCGGTGGCATACCTCTTGCATTAAGTGGCTGTTGAGATTTGCGGCATTGTCAGTTATAATCACCTTTGGAATACCAAAACGACAGATGATGTTGAAATGGATGAAATCCACCACGACCTTCTTGGTCACTGATTTAAAAGTTACTGCTTCCACCCACTTTGTAAAATAATCAATGGACACCAAGATGAACCTGTGACCATTCGATGCTTTTGGTTCTATCGGTCTAAACACATCCATTCCCCATGACACGAAAGGCCATGGAGCTGACATTGCATGCAACTCAGAAGGGGGAGAATATATTAAATCACCATGTATTTGACATTCATGACATTTACGAACAAATCGTATGGAATCCCGCTCCATGGTGAGCCAATAATATCCTGCTCGAAGTATTTTCTTGGCTAGAACATATCCATTCATATGAGGTCCACAAACTCCTGAGTGTACTTCAATCATGATTGTGGAAGCCTCTTGAGCATTTACATACCTTAGAAGACCTAAATCGGGTGTCTTCTTGTACAGTATGCCTCCGCTTAAGAAAAAACCCCTTGCTAGTCATCGAATAGTCCTTCTGTAACGACCTGTTTAGTCGTTTTGAGCAGCAGATTTTATTTCTGGAAAAACAGGCTGAGGCGACGAACCCAACGACGAACCGTCATGGGCACGACGGACCGTCGCAGGGTCTCGTTTCCAAACACTTAGAAAATCTGAAATTGAGTACTGAAAATCGACTCTTTAAACTTCGTAACAGAGTGGCAGGACGGACCGTCACAGGCCATTCAACCAAAAAATCAAGTTTCTAAACTATGCGACGGACAGCAGGACGGCCCGTCGCAGGCGCGACGGCCCGTCACAGCTTGCGTAATCCCAGTTGGAGTCGGATTTCTGGTTAAGTTTTAAAGAGGCGTTTTGGACTATTCCTGCTATAATTATATATTTCGTGGGTTTATATTAATAACTCTAATTCTTGGGGGTTAAAAGAGGTAACCTTAAGTTAATTAGTGGGATATTATTGCCATCTTTTATTCTTAATTATATACTAATTAGGGTAAAAGAAAGAGAGTTTGAATAAGAAAAATA